CTTGTTCTCAATCTGCTGTTTATCAAACTTGTTCTCAATCTGCTGTTAATCAAACTTGTTCTCAATCTGCTGTTTATCAAACTTGTTCTCAATCTGCTGTTTATCAAACTTGTTCTCAATCTGCTGTTTATCATTCAAATTTGTTTTCCTTTTTGTATTGTCTTCAAAACCTGTTTGGGTGGGTGGTTAGCGGGTGCTCTGGTGTGGTTTGCTCCTTCTTTCCTATCAAACATCTGTCGTCCTTATCTCCTCTTCTTCTTTTTTATGTTTGTTACTCTCTTGTAACACCTCTAATCTTCTGGCGCTCTTATAACCTTATGCAGTTGCGAGCGCCGTAAAACCTCTACTAAAACTAAAACTAAAACCTGGGGTTTTTTTTCTTGTTGTCAGGATCAGCCGCGAGTCCCTCAACAGTCAGTCCACCTTCCACTCGGAGTTACAGGGCAGACAGAGTCCGTCTTACCTGGACGTGGAAGATGACTCGTTGTTTGCAGACTTCAAAATGCCAGATTTGGGGGTGAGTGTGCTACCAGCCCTCTAGATCTACCCACCTTTTTGTTCTTAACTTTTTCTGACTTGACGTACACCTGGAAGGCATGGAATCATTAACACTGCCCCTGAAAAATGGATAAGGGAGAATTTATTTTTTAAAAATTAGTAGTAGGATGTGTTAAGCAATGTGACAAAATAGTAGCATGTCTCACTCAACTGTTTGAAGATATCGAGCAAAGCGTTGATTTTTACAATTTTGTATTTCTGACTCCCAAACTGACTATAACTTAAGAAATACATCAGCTAGACTGATTCTGTCTTTTTCCATGCAGGGCTTGAAAAGGTATTTAATTTGATGCTCATTATGTGATATAGTCAAATCGCGACCTTAGACTTTTTATCGAGTTGCTGCACATGTTGGTTGTTGAGACTGATGGTAGATGTGGTGTTCTTTTTCCCCAGAGTTCGTTTGATTTCGGCCCATCTTTCATGGACGAGGTCCTCAAAGCTCTGGACGAGAAGGAGAAGCAGGTGACCAGTCCCGAGGCCACGCCGACGGGCGCCCCAGCCTACAGCTTCGCGGAGGAGGAGCTGAAGGGAAGAGGGGGCACAAGCTTTCCTCCCAGGCCGGCGCCACGCGGGGAGCTCAAGTCCACTTCCTCCTCCTCCTCTAGCTCAGCACCACCTCTGCCCTCACAGCCCCCGCGGGTGGTAAATCTCACTTGTTTGTCTGTCTGTGTGTCTGTCTGTCTGTGTGTGGGTGGTGGAG